AGCATGAATCGATTATTTAACTAATGCAATCGCCTATATATCATTTTATTTTCATGGAAATGTACTTTAGTACGTTAAGAGACACTGGGTCTAAGAGTATCAATGTTCTTGATCATTTATATCAAATGGCAGGCACTTTGATAGTTATCAATAGCCCTTTAGCCTACTTCGGGCTAAACATCAAAGTGACAAAAAGTTAAGAGGGGGGCAGAACAATGATTCATAGATGCAAAAGAGACAGACAGATAGACACAAAGATAGAAAAAAGGTGAGGTGAATACTGTGGAGGTGGTCGAATATGACACACAGTGGGGTCATGGTAGTTAGAGTGAGAAGTTAACTACCGGTTAATAGACTTTTTTACCGTATGAGTATACGTTGCCCAGGGTGCACCACGTGGAGGTAAGTCAATCGCACACCCCATGCTCTTGATCATTAAGGGGGAGAGGGTAAACGAGACTGTGTACCTACAAGCTCTGCTTTGAGGATACAACTATCTGATACAACGCACATACTATAAACAAAATTATATTATTATTATTATTTATGGTTTTAACCATATGACTACCACCACACAAATCAGCCAAATTAATAGGCCAATAAGAACGCTGTGAACATGAATTATTGAACGCTTCAACAAACTACTTGAATTTTGAATACGAATAATCTTGACTCGAGTCTGGAGGACCTAATCTTGAGGTTCAATTCTTGTAAATCCAATTATAGATGGTCGAACTCAAACTCTTTCTATTCATTTTCATATGTTCCTCATATTAATTTTCTACGGTATTTTCTTAACCACATTTAAACGACTTTAATCATTGCATGCCAATGAGAAGGAAACACCTTAATTTTCATTTTTTTCAGATTTTTTCCAAATTAAGAAGAGCATAAAAGAGGGAAGTGCATACAACTGTTGAAAGAAGGCAGAAAATGCCTTAATTATTAATTTTCAACATAGACATGGGAGAAGTTGTCTTGCAAAAAAATCTCTTGATTTCAGACAGTAGGGCTAGGCATGAAAATTACAGAATAGATCTTATTTCTTCTTGCATGACATTTGGCACACATTCCCCCGGTGTGGCATCCCAAATAAACCGCACAACATCCCCATTAGGGAAATGTGAGCAGTAAGAGGGCGAAAGCGAATCACTACACAGATTATTAAACAAATTTCAAAATACCTATTTTCTTTACTTGATTATGTTATCAGTAGTTTTTTTTCCAGCTGCTTCATTGGTCAAAAGACCATTTCTTTCTGATATACGTATTGGGAGTGGGTGGGGGGGGGGGGGGGGGGGAGGGTGGAAGGCAAATTGTGTCATTTCATGCATGCACATAAACAGGGTAGGGTCAATAGAAGAGACTTAGATCATTAATAATTCTGAAAATAAATTAACGCATCGGAAAACACTGGAATAATCCTACTTGGACACGATACATTCCCGTCATCGATCAATTATCTTGACATGGGCTGACAAAACCCAACAGTGAGTCAAAGCATTTTTACTGGGTACGCATTGTGCATGGCATGGTTTCAAAGCAGCCTATGGAGCTGATCAATACGTAGTTTCTTGCCGGCTAGACTATCTGCACAAATTGTCAAGGCACGCCTCTTTTTGGGTTTGAATCGACTGTGACCTTGCAATATCTTTAGGGCAGGTAGACCAGAACAGTAGAAACTAGACTACCTGACATTTTAAGGGAGAAGAATGGATTTAACAAAATCACGAAATTGCCTCCCATTGTAAGAAAGATTATTCCGCTTGATTTATTTCCTTCTAGCTAATGAATTCATTAATCTAAATGAACGAATATACGCCTTTAATTGCCTTGGATCACTTTTGTAGATTAAAAAATGTGGATGAAAACGTCATGGCAAAATGACTTGATGGCGTAGCGCTAGTAAAACGAGATTGATGGCCGTAACCCTTCTTTCGCAATTTTCTATTTTTAGATTTACGCTCCTTTCCTACTTTAGCAATACATACTAATAAACTGGTAAACTTAATAGTGGAGAGGATTCTAAACTCGAATACTTAGAGGTTCATTCGTACACATGTTTAGTATTGAAGGAGGGTTTTTGAGAAAATAATGAACAAGCTACAAGTAAACTTGAGGAAACCATTCTTAACCAGTAACACCCCCCCTCCCTTTGTTAACCAGAGCTGTTCGCCATATACGTCACAGGTTATACACCTGCCACCCCTCATTAGTCAGAGGATCAAGGTGACCCGCCAAACCACCTGAGGACAAACTATTTATCACCGGGGTTTCTGCACCTTCACCTAATTTATACGCGTTAGCTATAATTTCCTTATGTCCTTAAATTATTTACCCCTAAATTGAGTGCTTGCCATGAATTCAAATTCCACAACTATATCGACTTGGTAGGTTGGATACTTGAACATAGTCGACTAGCTAACACTTTAGAAAAGGCAGTTGTTTACATTTGTGAGTCTAAAGATCGGAGTAGAAATAATACTGTAGTTGTACCGAAGTTTTCCGAAAGTCCTCTCATCCGAATAAAATGCAGTCGTACAGCTATTTTTTTCTATTTGGAACTGAAGCTTGACTATCCACATACGGGATGAGAATGCTGAAATGAATGCCGGCATTATTTTTTTCGAAATATATATGTTCTTCTTAGGTTAACTATTTTATTTCTGTATTATTATCCATGTACCCTTATTCGGGCGGGCGGTTATTCGGTTCCAAAAGCTTAATTAAATGGAATTTACCGTTCAACCGCCTTGGGCGGACTTTCGGAAAACCCCGGTACTAATGTAGTATTATGCGAATCCATTTGAGCCCAAATTAATTGAAGTAAATAGTTTTAAAGAACACTATATTTTATGAGGGCATTTCACCAATCCCCCTATCTCGACGCTTTCCCATTATAGCATCTTTGGCTTGACGACGGGCGTTCTTATTGGGAAAAAAATGTGGCTCAATTTTGATAAAATCGAAAAAATAAATCATTGAAAAATGTGCGTGCCATTAACCCGCAGTGTCGACAGAACGCTTAATTGAGAATCGTAAAAAAACCTGACAAATTAGAGGCATTAATAGATCACAAGTTTTCAATGTTACTATTGATGCATGCACTTTGGCCATAAACACCAAGTAATCTGGACTGTTTAAATCTGATAAGCCACGCTTACACCCTCTAATTGGATGTGATTACCTACTTAAAATAGCACTGCAAGGCAATAATTAACTGACAATAGAGAGAAAGCTTACCTAGTTTGTGTGTGTGCATTCAAACCAATAACGGCGCGGTCACGAAATAAACCTGGAATCATCAAAGGAAGTTTGATATTGGGTCAAAAGGATAAAATTTGGCAGAAATTAAGAAATTAAGATAGTCTATTATGTTTAGCAAACAATCGGGCGTCCTGTTTTGACAACCGCCAATTCTTTTAGGGCCTTGAAATAGGAAGAAATCGGAATTTTGAGGTGTTACATAGGTAGCTTCGAGAATTGGATCTCAATTATTATTATAGATCTCTATAACCGCTTAACAGGCGGAATCAAAATTATTTTCTCTCTCTTATATAAAATCTGATTGAGCACAGTTTGAAATGCTAGTTTCAAAAGGTAATAGCTTTTCTTTGTGTATCTTAGAAAGTGAAACCATCAAATTTCCTTTGCAGGAATTTGGAGTCATTGATCGTTCTCTAACGTTATCTACGCAAAAACATACGCAGGATGAAGAATGTCCACTGATTTAAAGTCTTATAACATTAACAACGTTTTCTACAAAATTTCTCTAAGACATGGGCAATGACAAAGATGTTAGAAAACAAGCACATTAGAAGTATTTATCGTCCATACTGCTGCAATGCTTAGAAGGCAATTCCGCAGTTATTTTTTATCCAGACCAGAGAGAGAGAGAGAGAGAATAGTCTATGGCAGTACATAGTTAGGACAAGACATTTAATTTATTAAAAGAGGCGTTATATAGGAATACAGTCCTGCAGTCGACTTTGGGAGATAAAAAAATCCATGTCAAAACATTAGGAGTGATGTGTGTTCATATATAAATAATGGTGATGGATGACGTCAAGACAACCAATGAGAATCGATTATCCCCAGACAAAACACAAATACTTAAAATATGAGTTTCGTTAATTCATGACCTCTAGCCTTTATGTACATTAAACTTGGTTTACTACCATGGGACATTTATACTCTTATGTGCATTTATGAAACAGTAGAAGGTAAGTTATAAAATTTGACAGCTCCTACTTGAATGGTGGTCTTCATATGCAAAGCCAGAGTTATCATAAATGACAAATCTTTAAATGCAATTTGTTTGCCCTTATCAGTACGAACTATTGAACTTTAGCAAAACCACTTTTTACCAGATGCTCCCTGTGTGTACTTTAGAAGGCAAACTGATCAAAATGTCATGTTTTTGAATTTCAAATCCCCCACCTCCAAATGCTTCAACTGAAGCTAGATATCATTTATGCATTTTCGAAAGTTAAAACTAAGTTTTTGTGTCGTTCATGAACATCAGTAACACAATCGTTACTAGGGGTGTGCAATAGACTTATCTCCACGTGATGCATCCTTGGCAACGCAACAAATACGGCAAAAAGTCTATTAACTGGCAGTGGACTTCTGACTTCGAACTACCATCACCCCACTGTATGTCATATTCCACAACTTCTACAGTACTCGTCTCACCCTTTTTCTACCTCTGTGTCTGTCTCTTTTACATCTTTGAAACACTTCTGTTCCCCTCTCTCGATATTTTTGCACTTTGATGTTCCTTCCTTCTATGGAGCCTGAAGTCAACTAAAGAGCTAATGATAATTATCAAAACGCCTGCCATTTGTAACAAATAAATAATAACTACTAAAATGATAATAGATCCAGATCATTTGAACATTTTATTAATATTAAGTTCAATGGGTCACAAGCACAAGAAATAAATGAAATCTGATTACCAGACAGCATAACTGGTTGCGGAAATAAAATATACACAAGAATTAACTACTGCTATTCCGGAGCAAACTGGTTGTCTGAGTTGAATCAGTCTGTCCAGTGATTCGTGACTTTGATCGAGCAGAAGTAGTCATCTCTTGTGTGCTTCTGGAAGTAGATTCACTAATTCCAAGAGCTTCTTGCCAGCGTTTTGGCAGCCATCTCGCCATCGCTCTTCTAGCTTTCGTTCCTGCCAGCATTGATATAGCAATAACACCACCTTGAGAATTAGTCATTAGACCAGCGATCTTTTGAAGCAAGAAGAGGTGTGGACACAGAGCTGCCAGAAATTGAATGAACCAACTAGCTCCCAGAATAACAGACAATTTGGCGCAAATGGCAAATAGAGATTTAGAAGACTTCTTATGAGAATCACGAAGTGGACTTGAAGAGCTCGTTGAAAGCCCAGTTTCTCTTTTCAGTCGATAGATCTGGATGCACACGATAATTAAAGATAGGATATTGAAGCAAATCATGATACCAGCAGGCACAAGAAACCAGATGAGTAGTGCAGTGTAGTGCCCACTGAACCAGGCGTAGTTAGGCTTATTGACAGGACAACAGTTTGGATTGACTCGATAGAGGAATGTGCCCAGTTCACTTTCTGCAACATCTTCTAAATCAGCTTCGTTTGTAGAAACGTCATAGATTGGCTTTATACGGATGTAGGCGCTTTCATTTATAGCCAAGGCTGGAATGCCAATAGAGAGAGGGACAATAATGGATGCAATTATTTGACGGCGGAATCGAGTTGATGTGTTTGAGTCCGATCCACGGGCTCGTAGCATCATGCTCTAAAATGTATAAGTGATCAGTTATTTTTTAAAAATAATTTACCTGGGAAGTAATATTAAATCTATTTCACGTTTTAAACAAATTGAAAATGATAGGAGGATATGCTTTTGAGCACTCATACATTTTTGAGAAAGCAAACAATTATTTAATGAGAGAGTAAATTTAATTTAGGCGAATATAAATCCAACTAAGAAGTAAGTATTTGTTTTTAAATTATCACCAAAAAAACACACGGACCTTATTTGAAGTTATAGTTGCAGGCTTGTACACTGTCCAATATTTCATTATAGAACCTAGGATCTTGGGCTTTGCGGTCTTTCCACTCCTTATATCGAACTGAGACTACTTTCATAAAAATGATTCCGCACATTTCTTTTGTTTTCCGGCTTCACTGTGCGCCGATTTCCTTTACCTTTCCAAAAGATTTGAATGAATGGAGATCTTTAAATTTTTCTGTATTCGCCTTGCCTAGGTAGAAGTTAAAATTACGTCGAAACTGTTTGCACAACCTTAATTGTCCAATTACCATTTTTGAAAGCTTTACCCTATTTCTGTTTTAAATTTTGGAATAGGTCATGAGCATTTAGAATTAAGTCTGCAACTACTTTTAGCTTGGAATTATGAGGTCATTGTGCCATAAATTCATGGTCTAAATATATTTTTTTCCTTCAAGGATCTCACACAAGCACATGATTAATAAAGCAGGCCAAATACTAGACTTTTTGGGGTGACTATGTTTAAGAGTGATTTTTCATATCTTTGATGAACAATCTTTTATTGCATGTGTGTCAGTACGTATTCCGAGAGTAATGAAAGGTGACTTTACCACCGTGATGATACGAGGCGAAATATGTACTAAAGGCAATAGGGTATCCAAAATTACAAAAAACGAGAATTGTGAACCTTAGCACTGATGGGTTAAAAAAGGCACAGTTTTGGCGTAGTAATAAGCTTGCGAACTGAGTTGACAGTCTAAATTGTCGTTCTTGGTGTGGCTGAACAAAGCTCTTGTGTATTTGACTGACAGCGAACTTATAAATGAGTCATCGGTGAAAATAGACATGGGTGTATTTTAGGTAAAGACCATTCACTTATTGCATCGGATTAAGCAGTACAAAAATCAAGTTATTAATTGAATTGGGAGAATCGAACAAATTGTGGACCACCAAAGAAGAAAGTCTTTCCATAAATTTGTCAATTAATGGCATGATCGGAATAAACAAACCCTCCCCAAAAGTGTCTTAATTGGGTTCTTAAAATCTAATCTAATGCATTGTTAAAAAAGAACGTAGTTCCTGCTTTTATTCCGTATAATTTTAGGAAGCTTATAAATGGAGGATACGCTGAAGAAATAATTATTCGACTTAATATTTCAAAATGATTGCACTGCTGAGAGCTTGTCGTTTCTAACAATTTATCACAATATCAAATCAACTTCCGGTCATTTGCAGCGCTAGTTAAATTAAACATTACCGACTAGGTTTTGATTGATCTGAACGCGAACTTGACTAAATTGCCCAATTACAGAATTTCCATTTTAATAAGATTTAGCCTTGACAAGACGAAAAAAGCTAAAGCGAAAAATGCGAAATTTTGCGCATATAAATAGCTAAAATTAGATAGTAGGAGGTAAAAAAACGCGAAACGGCGAAACATTTATCTCTCCCCCAAGTAATTTGGGGATCAAATTTACCGTGGCATTGCCTTTCCTTCCTCCATCCTTTCTGCAACAAAAGCAGAGGAAAAATTTCCGAAATAATCGCGTGAGGCCAAAGGTTCGGAAAAGCTCTAAGGAGAACATGACCATCCACACAAAACTCGAAAGCAGGAAAAGAAGTAGTAACCAAGCCAATGCTACACATAATGGTCGCATTGGAGTAGGGATAATTTCCATAACCCCACTTGCAAGAACGAAGAAAATCACAGATCCAAGAAGAACGAAACAGAGAGCTATCATCATTTTTCCAGGAAGAGGTATTCTAAGTCTTGGAGAAGTTGTAAATACGATTATAGCAAAAATTAGGGCAATAATAGAAAAAGCACAACATATCCACTGAAGTATCTCGAAAACCCTATCCTCGTCGGATGATCCAGAATATTCTGTTTCATCAGGGAGATTAAATATAGAATCCCATTGGAACATGAATTTCGGTTCCGGCCTATCAGGACGACAGTTCTTCGGATTAGTGGGCATTTCTGCAGCGATAAAACACTTCATTATATCGTCAAAGCGACTGCAGAGAAGTTGTCTTGGAAGGCTCCTTATTTTGGCATGATGACATTGAGCACAGTACTTGTTCGCATAAAGCACTCCAGAGGTAGCGTCTAGCACCGGTGACACATTTTGAATAACATTATAAAGCTCCATTCTTAGATTTAGGCCACTCCCAGAGTTCAACGCTGACTGGAGGTCATCTTGAAGCTTTTCTACTGAACTCTCACTTTCGTGGAAGTCAGTGGCGCAGAGCTCTGCTAACTTTGAATCGGCTCCTTCAGGACACTGACCGATTGCCTCAACATAGGGGTCTAGGTGTACTCCAGCTGCTAGAAGAATCCCCCGCTTTGCACCAATACATCGAACCATTGATTTCTGCGATGTGAGAGCACTCACATTTCCAGGAGATTCAAAGCTGCCAAAACCACCTTCAGTATTCCCGGTGGATGAAATTTGTTCTGTTGTCTCGCTGTATGAAAGGGGTGTTAATAAAGCCAGAAGCGTGAAGTGAGTCACAATAGCTAACATTTTAGTTGGCTTGAATGTCAGTGTCAAGGGGCACGTTTGGCTACTGTTAGCGTGGCGCACAAAAATAACTGCAGTCGAACGTTTTGTGCGTCTGGCTTGCACCAATGGTGAGTGACTCGAATCCTATTGGTGGATGGACATTGAACGAATTAGATAGGGTCAAACAGCAAATGATGATCAAAAAGAGACTTATCGAATTGAGGATGCAAACTGCGAACACGAAACATTCCAATATGTGACATGACCTCCTAATTGCCAAATATTAGGGACGATATGATTTCCCAACAATTGAATCAATTTCAAATACAAAGTAATTAGATTTTAATTACATACCATAAATTTTAAAAATAAATTTTTGTAATTATAATCTTATATTACCCTAGCATTTCATCGGTGTTTAAATTTACCTTATTAAAAAATTAACTTCTTTTTATTTTCCTGGTGAAAAGACAGCTAAGATTTTAATACTTCGATGTGATTTGTTTAAAAAACGCACAAAGTAAAAATTAATGTTTTATTTAACGTACTAAAAAATCATTTGACCGTCTTTAGGGTCTACTCTGTTCACTCCTGTTCAGGAAGATCAGTTTGTGATCAATCCTTTCCTTGCTCCACAATTTGGAGTGGTGGTCTCTGAAAGTCTTCCATTTTTTCTCTACACTACATGCTAACTTGACACGTATTCAGGATTTTTGGTTCATTGGCTCAGAGCTATGAAAACTATGAAAAGTTTTGACAAAGCCAATTATCTATCGATCGAACATTAGAGTTTTTAATTACTTGAAAAGCTGTTTTGACCAATTAAGTAGTTATGAAACAGAGTGTGGGAGAGGGGGGAGGGGGAGGAGGCGATCACGATTTTGAAGCGTTCAAACATGAAAGCTAACGGTCAGTTTTGGCGGAAATAATGAAGTCACCCTTAACAGTTGTTTAACTGCTGCATTAGAAGCCGAATCCCGAAAAAGTACTCTCAACTTCAGAGTGAATAAATGTTGATGTCAAGAATAGGATGATTTTAAATTTGTTTAAACTTCTTCAATTTTCATAATTTAATAAATTTCATAATTTCAGGTCCTACATAAGGTAGTTAGTAATGTACCCATCAATTCTAAAATAAATGCAAATATTTTCTCAATTCATATGTTTGAATTATTATAATTATTACTGAAGATAAAACAAAAATTTAAGTAATGGAGGAAAAAACGCAGTGGGTTACAACAAGGTGTTTCTTTGGAAGTTCAAGCGAACGTTTAGTTACAAACGAGGGAAACTCGAAATATTTGTGGTGACCATTCACTCAATTATAGATCCAATTGAATGGTCACAGTCGGACTTGAATAGGTAAGCTGGGTAGTCGCAGCTTTTATAAAACCACAAGAGTACCAGTTTCCTGTTCCATTAGATGAAATGGATTTGGTTATGAAATATTTTCAGAACGAGTAGCTCAGACTCTAAAATCGAATTTCATGACCAATTTACTGTACAGCACTAATTAGGCCGCCCCCTTTGCATTATAGCCAGTCTTGCCATTTCGAACGGAAACGGTTCTACTTGAAATTAATCGGCTGAGATGACATATCTGAATCACCAGTTATTGTTTTTTCTATTTAGATGGAGGTGACTGATGACGTTAATGTCATATTAAGTACATGCCTGAATTGCATTTCAGACTAATGGGTCGGTGACCCCAGAATGCGATTTATGATATCAAACAGAAGAAGTCAGTCTGCGCTTCACACTCATCTTATTCAAATAGGCATCAAACTTTCTGAACCGACTGATCCTTGTACCTTACTTCTTTCTAGACTCGAAGTTTCTGGTTAACAGCACTCCTCTACTTAAATGATGAAAATGACTATTTGCCTTGTACGGAAAGTTTTTTTTCATTTAAATAACTATGCCACTGAAAAACCCCTAATGCTTATCATCTAAAGGTATCTTTATCACGTCGTCAAAAGAGTTAACGACTTAATCAGAATCGATTTGTCTGCCGTGAAGAACACGAGATCTAACCTTCAAATGTTTAATTAATAGCGTTCAGACTGTTAGTGAAATCGACAGTGGCCAAAACCAATCAGACAGATCGCAAAAAATCGCCTTGGTCAGTGTATTTTCATTACAAATTGCATGCATAGACTCAATTTTCCGTCGATAAAGATGGATCAGGTAAACTTTTCTTCCCTATTTTTCATTAAGTATCATCTCTTATTCCGGATTTACCTGAAACTAACTGAGTCAGGCGGTTGGTAACAATATTTCAAGTTATTGATTTTGCTATTTATTACCACTGACTGGGAAGGTGATAGTAAATGGCGAAAGAAATTATACAATGGGACTCAATTTAGATAACTGAACATTTTTCAAAATAAAATATAATTTAACTTTAATTTAGCTCTCAAATAAGGTGACTAATCGCACAGAGATCACTTGATCTTGAAAATAATCACTGTACGAAATACTGAAGAACCTCCTTCAAGGTTACCGAAACAGGTTGCGAAATGTTCACTTTCAAACACAGTCAACCAAATTAGAATTGATCGCTGGACTAGATGATTAATTTGCAAGTCTTTCAAATCAACTCTCGCGATATCGATATGGGCCATATGTCTGATGTGATGGTGATGAGAAATATTTGCTGAAAGAAAACGTACAAACTAACTTTTGTTGAAAATACGAGGTGGTCTCCATTTATTCAAACATCTATTATATCACAATCAACAGATTAGCTAATTCGTTTAACACATTTGATCCAAAGCACCGTAAAAAGTGTGTAATCCGAATGTCATAATATAGTCAGCACATATTTCATACGACAGCATTAAAATTCCCTACACATTAAGATAATTATCACTGCTCTAACATTTATTTCAAATGAATTTTCTCCACTTTTTGCTTGCATATTTTTTTAGCTAAATATTACACTAATTTATTGCAAACTAACAATCTAGTGTAAATGTATCAT